GCGACACATTTATAAATAACGCGATCTAACCCAAAAACCTTTATTATGAATCTACCCTGTCATGAAATAACTAGCATCCTCGGCATGTACCTACATTTTTATCGCCAGGAGTCTTGTTATGCAAATGTGCTTTAAAGTGGATAATCACAGTGCGTGCTGTAGTTAGACTGCGTGAGTGCAACCATGACCTGCTCAGCCATCTGCGTTTTGACATGCGTGCTTGTATCTGCCGCAATAATTACGCGTTACATTCAGTTCGGCTGATTATTTTAATTCTACTTCTTAATAGGCTAATGGCACTTCATAGCCAAAATAAATTAAGTGAACAATTAAGGGACGATGTTATTTCTATTTAATTGGCACTTACGAAGTCAGAAAAAGAGGAAAAAAATATGTATGCATGAGCTACAGCCGACTACGATGCGCGGTGTGTGCTAACGTGCGTTGTGAGTGCGTGCGTTTGTTTATTAAATATCTGTGGGTGCGATGGCGAATGAGTTACTGGTTAGTTGGACTGTGGCTCCGAATGCCACTTAACCATGGGTTGAATTTCTGGTCACGCACAATCTCAGTGGCAACTTGGAATTTAATCCTAACATGAACCTGCCACTGCCTTTGTGTGCCTTACTACTAATGTATAGCCCTCATATAAAGGCACTGCTGAATGAAGACATGCTCATGCCGCGTAGGTCACGGTTGATGTGAGTTGATAGGGGTCGCCCAGGACCGGTTTAGATATCGCTCGCCCTCGATGTTTCCCACGGCCGGGGAATCGAACTCGGCTTCCTCTGAGTTCAGAGCGCCGTGCGCTAACCACTGCTCCCACTGTTCTCTCCTCCTGCACACCTTACCACTGCTCCCACTGCTCTCTCCCCCTGCACACCTTACCACTGCTCCCACTGCTCTCTCCCCCTGCACACCTTACCACTGCTCTCTCCCCCTGCACCCCTAACCACTAGTCCCACTGCTCTCTCCCCCTGCACACCTGACCACTGCTCCCACTGCTCTCTCCCCCTGCACACCTTACCACTGCTCTCTCCCCCTGCACCCCTAACCACTAGTCCCACTGCTCTCTCCCCCTGCACACCTGACCACTGCTCCCACTGCTCTCTCCCCCTGCACACCTTACCACTGCTCTCTCCCCCTGCACCCCTTACCACTGCTCCCACTGCTCTCTCCCCCTGCACAACCTTAAGAGTGCCGGAACATACTTTCTGGCCAACAGCACTTTGCTGTAATAGTCTAAAGAGGGGATGTTTATCTTTACGTTGTGTATATTCAGTCACAGGGGGAATTTATTGTCATTGGATTTTAGATTACAACTGCTTTTTTGCATTCACAGCGCATGTGTATTTGCACAACACGGTATACGTAATGCACTTTTCAGGATGCTACGTATTCCCATTAAGCGCAGCATGCATCGTGGCTCAGGGCCAGGCCTCATTAAAGCATCCGTGGATTCGGTATTGATAAAAAAAACTGTGGGCGAGACTAAAGGGAGCAGTTGTGGCGATGGTAAAGCGAGGGGAGTGCTTTGCTGGCTGTAGACCACATGATATACGAATCAGCGTTATTTACATGTTTGTTATCAAGAGACAGCAGTTAATGTAGTGTGTGGGCTGCTTGCTTTACAATGGAAAAACCACATGTCCAACCACACCTAATACATAGATTCTGGCTCAGAGCCTAATGCCCTCACGACGCTGATTCAAGATCACAAAAATCTCGAGTTCAAATCCTGGCTACGGTCGACTCGCGCAATCATCACTTTCTTCATCATCGTCATTATCAGCGGGATCTACACGAGGTCATTATAATCGCAACCATGCTGTGGGGAAGTCCTTTTGGTAAACTTCTTCCGATATTAGGAAGCCACTGGAGCTATGCACTTTTAAATCCAAATGGAAAACACTTTTTTTGGAACTGCTTTTTTTGTTTAGTTTGTTGTCCTCCCGCACCTCCGATTAGCACGGTTGGCTGCATACGGGGCGAACGAAGTTCAGCATACACACAAATTCAACATACATAGATAAACTGTTCATCCAGATATTAGGAAGCCACTGGGAGCCATTCACTTTTAAATCTACATTGAAAACTCATTTCTTTACAACTGCTTGTTTTGTGTTTAGTTTGTTGTCTTTCCCCTGCACCTCCGATTAGCACGGTTGGCTATGTACTGTGCGAAAGAAGTTCAACATACATACATTCTGTCATAGGAATGTGGAATTTACAAAACTGGTTGATGGCTGTCACCAGGGATGAGTATCACTCATTGCTGAGAAGACAAATGGGATCGTTGAGTTATTGACAAGTACTTGAACTTAAATAAACTGCGATTCAACATCCCAAGCGAAATTAACTAGTACTGTACCATACTGCGCTTTGTTCAGTCCACAGTGTTTATGGGTCTGGGTATTCCATTGGGATGAAACATCTATAATCTAGCGGGCTGTGCTCTATAGTATGGCCAGCAATCATGAGTACATGGCTTGACTTTAAAGTTATCAACACGTGTAGCTTCCTTTAAGTTGTAGGTATTTTGAACTTCATTCGCATCGTATGTAGCCAACCGTGATAATGAGAGATGCGAAGTCAAACGTTGATAAAGACCCCCCCCCTCCCACCCCCAGTCAGCGATTGCTCGAGGGATAGGAACACCAAGCTCCTTGCTGCCCCACGTGTCTGCAACTCTTTCGCCTCAGTAGTTTGCCCTGCCGATTCACTCCCCCTACTCAAACCCTAGGATAAATTATTTCATCTCCTCTGCATGTAACCTTCTCTCTCTCCTCTCTCTCTTACCCCCCTTTCCCTCTCACCACTCACTGATCAACACCCCTCCCTTCCCTACCAAATATGTGCCAGCAACTCTTGAGACGTGGTTTTCGTTGTGATGATTTAGAGTCGCAGACAATGTATCGCATGAGATTATTCGCAAAAGTAGGCCACGGGAAAACTGCTGACATTCCAATAGCTCGACTGGAAGCCGCGCAGCACGATGTAGTCCTTGCTTGACTTGTAACACAAAATGATTCCTGTTAAAAATTACTTTTCAGTAATGTCTGATTGATTGCCACACTGCGAAATAAATCAATGGTGCTTGTTATATAATGTTCAGGTCTAAAGAGGAGGCTCTTCATTAATATTACACGCACGACTTTGATATCATTCAATATCCCCGCGATAAACACCGCTGCGAGCTTAGGACTCGCCGTAACAATGCAAATCTACGCGCACTGCAAAACCTCTAAACTTTTAGAACTAAGTGAAACAACGCATTGCATTAACCACGACATCATTATTAACATTATTCTCATCATCATCATCATCCATTTTTATAGAGCGCACTTTATTTTTGCAGCCAACAATCATTATTTTGTTGGCAGCAACGTGAGCAGGTGTTTCATCGCGGGCTGGGGGGCGGAAAGAGGTGGGGGGGGGGGGGGTTAGAGGCACGACATTAAAAGTGAAGCACGCCGTTTTTCATCAACAGTTTTCTATATATATAAAAAAAAACAATCTCCGAGAGCCCAAAGGGCATCCGAAGAAATAGACGTGGAGCGTGCGCGCAAAACCAGTGGCGGTGTCGAGCGAAGGCAACGCGGCGCGCTCCGCCCCGCCTACACGGGGCTTTGACAACGCGCCGTGGTCTGAGTGGGAAGTTTACGTTCGTTTGGTGGCAATTCGGTGCGCGGTGGGGAATTTGGGTTCATTCTCGGTGTTAGGTCTCGGTGCTGGCCGCGAGGAGTAGCGGTGGAAATCGTGGCGGAGGCGCCATCTAAAACACTCCCCGAGTAGCTTCATTCGATACAATTGACCGTAAACCCCCCTTTTGTCGCGCTTTTTGCTCAATTGAACGGCGATAATAAATTGCCGTTTCATCTGGCCACGGTTAGATTTAAGTATCATTCATTGGTGCATCATAGCACTTAAAAGCATGGCTGGACATGGGAAATTATGCTTTATGGCACCTGTGAACATTTGGAATATGCGTAAAAGGCCTCATAAACGGGGCACATTTTACATCATACTATAAAATGTATACTGCGGTCCAACACCATCAAATTTTAAAAACATCTATGACACTGGGACGCGTGCCATTTCCCCCCTTTTATGCGAGGCGGAGATGTTCTCCTTCTCTCGCATCTGATGTGAGGGAGCAGCCGGCCTTCACTCATGAACAAAGAGGTGAAGCTGCAGCGCTGCAATATCCCGCTCTCGCCACTGCTGGCAGAAAGGCCTCAGCAAGGGGGAGCTCGAGAAAGCGCTCTCTAGAGGGAGCCGCTGCACCATGGTGGTGAGATGTTAACTCCCTCGCCGGGTATGCAGGATGACATGGGTTCGATCCCGACCCTGAAGCCTGTATATTTAGAGTTTGCATGCTTCTCCCCCTGGGGTCGTGTGGATTTTTCTCCGGGTTCTCTGGTTTTCCCCTCCATATTTAGAATCAACATCACGCGTTTTAAGTATTCGGCTGTCATAAATTTCCACGTGACGATAATCCACTTCGTTGAGCTATCATTTGTGGCCAGGTCGCTTCTGAAAAAAGAGCTACATAGCTCAGTGGGCCTTACCTGGTCAAATAAAAAAAAGTTTTTAAAAAGTTGTAGTTTTACCCCGCTACACGCAACCTGCCGATCGACCGGCCGTGGCACGTACCCATTTCCACTGCTGCTAGGCAGACCAGAATTGGAGAAAAATCCAAGAAAACTCGCACCGTCATTTCGACTGCCACGCTGGCAGATGGGAAACCAGTGAACCTTCGCGTCGCCAGGCACGAGCGCACTACCCACCGCACCGAGGCAGCGCCCCCTACGACAATCCCAACAGTCGAACTGAAACGAGCACGTGCGCGCCCCCCGGCGTGCCCCAGGTGTGCCCCAGGTGTGCCCCAGGCGTGCCCCAGGTGTGCCCCAGGTGTGCCCCAGGTGTGCCCCAGGCGTGCCCCAGGCGTGCCCCAGGTGTGCCCCAGGTGTGCCCAAAGAGTGCCCCGGCGTGCTTACACGAGCTGCGCGAGTCCTTGCCCCACAGCTTCCTGCGGTTGAGGCTGCCCGCGGGGCTCACGGGGCAGTAGGTGCGGGACACGGTGCTGCAAGCGCTCGCGCTAGAGAATCCCCGGGGCAGCGTGCTGTCGGAGGTGGCCGAGCGCAGGCTCCTGGGCAGGCTGCCGCTGGGACTGGAGGTGCACATGCTCCGGGGCAGCGAGCCTCCTGGGGTCGACGGCTGGTGCGTCCGGGGGAAGGTGCCGCCGGGGCCGCCGGGGTAGAGGCCGGGGGGCGCCGCCGCGGCCGCCGCGGCGCCCGCGCTGCTGGGATGGCGCATCCTGGGCAGGGTTCCCCCGGAGGGCGGGGACGTGGCAGCATGGGCCCGGCGGGGCAGGCTGCCTCCGGGGCTCGTGGGATAGGGCAACGTCGCCAGCTGAAGGGAGCCCAGGCTCTGCACGTGGTCCGACGCGGAGGACGTGCTCGGGGTGGGCAGTGTCCCTGAGAGGAATAGCACGATAACGACGATAACGACGGCCATCATTCGCCATTAAGTAACGGCGACCTCGCACAACGGTACTTTGTGTGCAGGCAAGGTAGATTTTGTGGCCTTGAAGTGCGGAAGGCTCGCTGGTAGGACGGCGCCAAGACGGAATGGAAGTGTCACGAGTTAACGGAGTGAGATAACTGGCAGATGGACCACCTGTGATCCACGCTGTGCCACACAATGCACGTGTGCGTAAAATTATCCAAACGGCCAAATTTCAGGGACACCATGACATCTATGGAGTCTTGAGAACTAAATAAGAGGCATTCTCGCAATGCTCATCTGCATTGGTGGGCCTGAGCATGGTGTGGTGCATGTGAATTACTTTACAATGCATCCACCTTATCTCGCAATTTCCACATCTTATACTTGAATATAAACGCACAGATAAACAGCCGTGTTTAGCGCAGCTCGGGGGAAACGCACGCTGCGATGTGGGACGACGATGATATCTTAGCCGACACGTAGCGTGTGTACAATTCACAATGGGAGCGTGCGCTGGGCTTATTAACGGGCTTTGTGCAAAAATAGCGCAATGGATAAACCCCCCCCCCCCCCAATTAGTTACAACTGCGCAGCTTTAAGATCGGTGCTAATTACCGCGAGGTTTTTTGAGGCAATACAGTTAAAGGGATTTAAAAAAAGGCCAAGCAGCATTGTTGGAGAATGGCGGTTGGGTAAATATACATATGCTGACCTGGATGAACCCAATATTAAAGTGAAAATGAGGTGTCTTACTTCATCATTCTATCATCTGCATTTCCCCGTAAACCCATCTGCTTTAAACGTAACCTTTATTTTGAGTGTTGTCTTTAATGCATTGTACGTGCAGTTTCTACTCGCTCACTGTTTAGCACGGGCTAAGTGGGTGGAACTATTTGAGCGTGGATGACCCAAAAACACTAAATTAGCGTCTATTTTTTTCATCTCAAACGCTGCACCGTGTATTGGTAATGAGAGCGTGTTAAGTATATTCAGCCTGAGTTTATACATACACTGCTGCCCTACACAGCAACTGAAAATGTTTTTGAAGTTGAACACGAAAACACTTTTAAACTAAAACTAACTATTTTTTTTATTTTACCAGGTAAGGCGCACTCAGCTATGTAGCTCTTGTTCAGAAGGGACCTGACGAAAAATGAGTGCTCACTAAGGTGGCTTATCATCATGTGGAAATTTATATCAGCCACATACTCTATATGCATGTTTCTAAATGTGGAGGGTAAAACTGGAGAAAATTTCACACGACCACGGGGAGAATATGAAAAACTCCAAATATATACTTTATATATAATAAATATTAGAATATTATATATAGGCGTCAGGGTCGGGATCGAACCCACGACCTCCTGTACAGAAGGCGAGCTAGTTAACATCTTGCCACAGTGGCACCCAATTAATTTTGATTTTATTTTTATAGATTTTCTATTTCAATTAAAAAGTACAAAAAACTTTTATGAAGTGAAACTGAAGCATGGACCAAAGACACATAGATTGCCACTGTCTTGATTTTAAGTGTTAGAAAATAATATAACAGTACAATACTCTTGTTAATGAGAAATTGTATCATGGTGCTATATTGCAATTATCAATGGTAATAATTGGATATTAGGGGTATCTAAAATGTGGAGATAGATGGATTAACTGTTTTTATTGACTCATATGAGGTAATAAACAATTGAAAAAAAATACATCTGTACATTTGTTTAACTTGTAGAAAGTTATATTTCCAAGATAGATACGCAGACAACGTCCCCTTCATAAATTGATCACTCCACGTGAAAATGTTGTATTTCAGCACAACCCACTGGCACAACTGCCTTCCGGGAGTGCATAATATCAGCAGCATGGATTTAGTCGAAGCAAACTCTGGACCGGTATCGACATAAAGCATCTCATTAGCTGTATGTTGAAACCGGTCCAATGCTGAATCAATGCCACAAGGCTGTGGGGGGATAAGTTGTGTAAAGAAAGTGTATTTTTTTCGAGAGACAGATATATGAAAGATACATTGTCTGCTTATCTATGTTATTTACATTCTCTGCAGTGACACCAATTATTATTTTGTGCTATGTATTTACAGGATCGTGTGGTTGGTTAGAATTGTGGTCATTGTATCCACCATCAAGGGGGATTCTTGGAGATTCTTTGGCATTGACTTATGCCAGATCGTCAGTCTTGTTAACGTTTCATGCGACGGAAAAAGTAATATGGGGTCCATTTCTTGGGAGAATAAAACGTTACAATGTCTCAATCACCGTAAGGCACATCGCTAAGGTGATGCGTTTGGGCCCTTTTTTCCAACACGTGAATCTGGCCTCCAGAATAATATACATTTATACGCGATTTAGCGAGGAAAGCCTGACTGAGTTTTAAGACAAGTGTCACTTTTTTAAGAGAACCTTGAAAGCCCAATCGGGGATATTTTACCAATTCATTAATTTTAAAAGTGTTTTATTTTTGTATTCGAGGCAATACAGATTTAAAATCTATACCAAATGTTTTTTGGAGATTCGATATTTTTTAAATTTACGATAATTTTAATATCAAATTTGTCTCATCCAGCTGAAACAAATTGATGCAATTACATTTTGCCAAACGATTAGTCTCAGGGTTGGTATCAACTGATGGAACATATTTTGGTTCTTGGCACCCTATGTGTTACTGATATGGCCGCAACACAACATTGTATGTAAATACAGCTCTGGAACAATGCTAACATATAAACAGAGATATAAAATCTGATTCCAATATTCCCACTCATGTAAAGCCACTTTGCATCCTCGGGTGCCCTTACATGTTAACAAAATAAACGTAGCAGGTTTCTAAGTGCTCATTCATGTCTACCAGACTGATCGTTTCATCTTTTATGAAAAAGAGCTATACAACTTAGTGGACCTTACCTGGTAAAAAAAAAAGTTAATAGTTTATATCTTGACTTAAAGCTTTCGTGACTGCAGGAATTAATAGTTTAGTTCATCCATATGATGCGTTTAACCTCCATATTGCAGGTCAAAGCATCTCTCTTCCTGCTTCTTCCCTCACACTGCTACACTTTGGAATTCCCTCCCATCGTCACTTTCCCCCAAAATCTTAGTTATAATTACTTTGCTCAAATCAAGAAATGTGTTAACGTTGACAAGTCACAACTTTCACGGTGCTATCTGTTGCTGGATGTATGACGTTTTGGGCCTTTTGGCTTGTTGTCAGCAACTGTGTCTCAAATTAAATAATACGTACGTATCGATGTAATCTGTTAATTCTGCACACATGCTCTGATACTTGCATTGCCTTTGTACTGTTCGCCTTTTGGCGTTCTCTGGTCTGACACTGGTGGTGAGACAAGGCCTTGAAGAAAGCCGTCTCTTTCAAAGACTGCATATACAGTGAGGGAAAAAAGTATTTGATCCCCTGCTGATTTTGTACGTTTGCCCACTGACAAAGAAATGATCAGTCTATAATTTTAATGGTAGGTTCATTTGAACAGCGAGAGACAGAATAACAACAACAAAATCCAGAAAAACGCATGTCAAAAATGTTATAAATTGATGTGCATTTTAATGAGGGAAATAAGTATTTGACCCCCTCTCAATCAGAAAGATTTCTGGCTCCCAGGTGTCTTTTATACAGGTAACGAGCTGAGATTAGGAGCACACTCTTAAAGGGAATGCTCCTAATCTCAGCTTGTTACCTGTATAAAAGACACGTGTCCACAGAAGCAATCAATCAATCAGATTCCAAACTCTCCACCATGGCCAAGACCAAAGAGCTCTCCAAGGATGTCAGGGACAAGATTGTAAACCTACACAAGGCTGGAATGGGCTACAAGACCATTGCCAAGCAGCTTGGTGAGAAGGTGACAACAGTTGGTGCGATTATTCGCAAATGGAAGAAACATAAAATAACTATCAATCTCCCTCGGCCTGGGGCTCCATGCAAGATCTCACCTCGTGGAGTTGCAATGATCATGAGAACGGTGAGGAATCAGCCCAGAACTACACGGGAGGATCTTGCCAATGATCTCAAGGCAGCTGGGACCATAGTCACCAAGAAAATAATTGGTAACACACTACGCCGTGAAGGACTGAAATCCTGCAGCGCCCGCAAGGTCCCCCTGCTCAAGAAAGCACATATACATGCCCGTCTGAAGTTTGCCAATGAACATCTGAATGATTCAGAAGACAACTGGGTGAAAGTGTTGTGGTCAGATGAGACCAAAATGGAGCTCTTTGGCATCAACTCAACTCGCCGTGTTTGGAGGAGGAGGAATTCTGCCTATGACCCCAAGAATACCATCCCCACCGTCAAACATGGAGGTGGAAACATGCTTTCGGGGTGTTTTTCTGCTAAGGGGACAGGACAACTTTACCGCATCAAAGGGACGATGGACGGGGCCATGTACCGTCAAATCTTGGGTGAGAACCTCCTTCCCTCAGCCAGAGCATTGAAAATGGGTCGTGGATGGGTATTCCAGCATGACAATGACCCAAAACACACGGCCAAGGCAACAAAGGAGTGGCTCAAGAAGAAGCACATTAAGGTCCTGGAGTGGCCTAGCCAGTCCCGAGACCTTAATCCCATAGAAAATCTGTGGAGGGAACTGAAGGTTCGAGTTGCCAAACGTCAGCCTCGAAACCTCAATGACTTGGAGAAGATCTGCAAAGAGAAGTGGGACAAAATCCCTCCTGAGATGTGTGCAAACCTGGTGGCCAACTACAAGAAACGTTTGACCTCTGTGATTGCCAACAAGGGTTTTTCCACCAAGTACTAAGTCATGTTTTGCAGAGGAATCAAATACTTATTTCCCTCATTAAAATGCAAATCAATTTATAACATTTTTGACATGCGTTTTTCTGGATTTTGTTGTTGTTATTCTGTCTCTCACTGTTCAAATAAACCTACCATTAAAATTATAGACTGATCATTTCTTCATCAGTGGGCAAACATACAAAATCAGAAGGGGATCAAATACTTTTTTCCCTCACTGTATTATCAGAGCATGTTTGTTTGCATGATTTGCCACAAGTACGTGTGGTTAATGCAGATTTGATGCATTGCAAAAGGTATATATTTGGTTTTGAACATCTCAACACGCCCTGCTTTTTTGCCAGAAAGGGTAAAATCCATTCTTGTTTTTTCATTTAAAATTATAATTATTTTAATCTCAAACGTACAATTTCATGGATGTATCATGAGCGTACGAATCCATGATAATTGATTAACCAATCCAGATCGACATGCTTAGGATCTATACTTGTAACATATTTAAACCTTTAAAACTACGTTTCTATCTGTAATGTACACAGTCAAGGTCACATGACAGGGCACACCATATTCGTGATGTATTTTTTAAAAGGTGTTGTCACTCTATTGTGTGAATAAGTCATTGTATATAGTTACTATCCTGCGATGTAAGTTTCCTGAATGGTAGGTACGGTCTTGGGAATGGACTGAGGCAATGACATTTTCATCAGCATCATTTAAAGTTAAAAGAGGATAGACTATGACTCCATGTGGAGAAAGCTGTGGGTGCCTGTGCGTGACGTGGAAGAACTGCAAGATTTCACACACACAAACAGGCTTCAGCGTTTCATTTTTCTTCCTCACTTGTCACGTGGCTTGGCAAGGCGAGTGACAAGGCCGAGGAGCGCCCGTCACGTCAACAATGCTTGTTGGCAGTGTTCACATCTGACACAATTCACTGAGGAACTCCCGACAAATTGATATTTTTTTTCCGACAGCTCCAAGTCAGTTGCCACACGCGCACACGCCGAGGAACATTCTAGCAAGCAGCCTCAGAAATGATGCGTGGGCTTGATGGTGCCGTAATTTTTTTCTTTCCAACCTTTTATCATTATTTTCGTTCACCGCATGCATAATCACCTCCCCTTTCACTCTGTGAGACAATCCTATTCCAACAGCAGCCACCCCTGGATTGCCCCCCCCCACCACCCACAAAGACTGAAACGTTCTCGAAATGTTTATTTATTTGTCGCAGTTGCTCTCGCATTAAACGAGGTTACATCCGCTTTGCTCAAGAAAGCACCGCAGTTGAATACCAATGCGAGCCGGCGAGTCACCTTCCCTGGGAACATGTAAGTAAATAAATAAGGTGGTGCTCCCCCCCCCCCCCAAAAAAAATATATATAAAAAATGGAGCCACCGTTGCCGCTCCGCTGCCTGTAATATTTATTCTGGTCACGCCGTGCCCCTCGGACGTGAGTTGGAGACTCCTCCACTCCTCCTCGCTGCCCGGAGCCACTCTGCCAGCCTCACAAGCGCACGGCTGCCACGGGGAGCCAGCACACCACGGTGCTGGCTCACGCTGAGACACAGGCGAGCTGGGGGCTATCCCATTATTGAAGTAACCGATTAACCGGTTCTTATCCTCGACTACTCGGATAAACCACTAATAGTTGGTGACGGGGGGGGGGGAGTCTACATCGTGCCGTTGGACGGGAGGTGATAGCCGGGGCCTAGTGACGCAACTGGTATAATGAACCGCATCACACTGGGCGTGGCTTGTAGGGGGTTTCCAGCCTTCGGGAGGCAGGGTGTCAGGGCAGCCGCCTTTAATAAAGTGGACCGCAGAATCGACCACGATAAAGTAGTGTATTCATATTTTTTGCTTTATTAATTGTCCTATATTCTTGGGTCTTTCGGTAAAGTCACGTAGATAGGTTCAAATAAAATAACCAAAAATAACAAAAAATTTACATTTTCTTTGAACCTATCTACGTGACTTTACCGAAAAACCAAAGAATATTAATTCCTGCAGTCAAGAAATCTTTAAGTCAAGATTGAATTGTCCTATCTCTAAAGCACACTATGCAGATAGCTGGATTAAGCTATGGCAGTGCTGGGGAGTAACACAGTACAAGCTGCAGGTAACTGACTCATTTATACGTTTGCAGGTAGCCAGCGGAAACGCTATGGCATTGTTCCTATTCTTGGGGTGTAAAAAGATTACTGTAGCTTAGCATGTGCAGCATCAGCAGCTTGTGTTAATACAAATATTGTGAAGAGCATGCTACTAAGTTAACGGTAAACATTCTTTCAAATGTTTCTTGCCGTTGCTTTTCACACCTGATGACGACCGTTTGTGTTATGGTCGCAACGTCGTGAGAATTTTTATCGTTTTATATATATTTTATTATTTTATTGTTTCCCTTCAACGTGACTTTACCGAAAGAGCTAAGAATATTGTCATACTATAGTTCTGTTAATAATGATAATAAGTAATCAGATTAAATTACTTTGAAAATACTGATTAAGGGATTCAACTGTCAATGCAAGTATCTGTCACAGAACAAGGGAAATCACCCCTACGTCAGGAAATCCCCAGTTGTTGAACTGGCTGTGGTATGAGGAGTAAGCTACTGACCTATTTTTTACAGATTCTCCAAGCTACCCTGAAACAAGTTGGTTTCTTCAGGTACCGTGGTTCCCTGCTGCATTGCAAAACAACTCAAACATTCCAAGACTTGAAAGACCTGAGGTTCAGCAAATCTGCCCTCGATAGATAAATACATAATGGTTATGCTATCCGGTTTCGTTGACGCAGGACAGGACGTTTGCCGCAAGTAGCAAGTCACACATTTGCGCTGTCCGAATGCAATGGTCGTGAAGAAAGGACAATCGGTGAACATTGCGACAATTGCCCCGTTGTACATGCATGTACAGTCTGTTCTCCTGAAGAACACCGCGTTATGGAACAATCACGTGATTACAAATAATAGAAATATAGGGTGAAGCACAGTCTGCGTTAACGCGTGAGATGCGTTTGCAGGTGTGGGTAGCATCCTGAAGAATCCTGCAGCATCTCGCCTTGTGTCATGCCGAGACAGCCGTACGACCGCTAATTCCTACTCGCGCGAGGAAGTTCCGTTCACTTGATCGCATTATATACAATTCGCATCCGCGTTATAAAAAAGTGTTCCCTAATACGTTGATCGCGTCATATCCAATTCGCGTTATGAAAACAACACGCAGCATTATAGGAGAACGGGCCGCATGCTGAACTCCTTTCGCACCGTTGTGCGCCCGCTCACGAGTGAGGAACTCAAACGGAGATGGGGAATTTACGATGTCTGAGGTGGCGAGGTGGAATGGGAGGCCTGCAGGAGACGGCAGCGGCGTCCTTTACGCGGGCGGCACTCGCCTCCAGATGGCTGCTCGCATCCACGTCGACGACTGCACACAGACGATGGACGGGCGCACAACAACGACAGCGAGGAATCATGGCATGGGCACGGCAGCTATGAAGATGAGTGATGAGAATGTCAATATGAGCGTTTACTTTCATTCTCAGGTGCAAGGGGGAATTCTGTGAAGTTAAAACGTAAAAGTGCAGTAACTTGCCGCTAGGGCAGCTCTTTGCGAGACCCTCTTCGAGGGCATTTTGGGCAACTCTTCCAAGCTGGCCACAGGCATCTCGGAAGAGCTACGAATACCGACCCACCCTTTATTCTAGCATGTGCCACCTACCGTTCAACTCACTGTGGGGGGAGGGGAGGATTTAAGAAACTTGCCCCAAATGTTTAAACATGACTCCGCGGCGGGAGATTAGAACCAGCGAGCAAAGCGAGGTCGCAAGTCCTGTGAGTGTAGTCTATGGAATATATAATCCCCAAAATCCACACATCCAGATGTTGAAGTAAAATAAATCAGAATACAGTGGCCGGGTGCCTCTGAGGGACGAGCCACGGCAGAGTGAACTGCTTCAGTGTTTTGATTTAAAGCTTTCGTGACTGCAGTAAATCATATTCTTAGCTCTTTCGGTAAAGTCACGTTGAAGGGAAACAATAAAATAATAAAATATATGTCAAACAATAAAAATTCTCACGACGTTTCGACCATAACACAAACGGTCGTCATCAGGTGTGAAAAGCAACGGCAAGAAACATTTGAAAGAAGTGTCGGTTTGCATTAATTTATTTATCTTTAAACAGTGTATTTATTTATAAAAAACGTCAGCGCCACGCGCAGCGATTTGGCAGTTTATTTAGAAGGACTAGTCCATCTATGTTCTGAAAAGAGGAGGGGGGAGACGAAAAATTAATGTATGCTGTCTGAAAGCCACCGTAAGCGTGAACAATCAATTAAGACCTGAAATGGTTTATCAAATCCTTCCAATGATTGCTAAGCCAGAATCCATCTTCTCGGTTGAAATTGTCTCTGTGTTTGTATATGTGGATAGCCTCATGAACGAATCTCTCATGGTAGCCAGATGTGTTGCTCTGAGGGACGAGCCATGGCAGAGTGAACTGCTTCAGTGCTGCTCAGAGGCAGCACTGAAGCAGCTTGTTGTAAGCTCATTAGTTATTGGTCTCGGCCCAATAACTAATGAGCTAACAACAACAAAAACTCCCCATCATATTGTCTTTTTTTATGTAATTTGGAATATTTTAGCTTTGAGGCTTTAATTGGCATGGCAGATAAAGGTGGGCCACCTAGTGTGCCATTTGCAAATGACATCGGCGTTATTCTGAGATATCTTCTGGGGGTCACATTCATCGTCTCCTGACAAAACAAGAGCACAGTTTCAATATAACTTGGAAATATGGAGAATATATGAAAAGCCACGGCCAATGCTCACGGCTAGATGATTACCGCTGCCCACCGCGGTTCCCACATGCAAACAAATTCATGAAAACATATATATAATTAACACACAGAATAATCAAAGAAAGTGACAACGTAAAGAGGCACACGATAAAACAAAAACCACTTTAATGGCTTTTCCCCCGTAGGTGAGAGCCATGGGAAGATGAAACGAGCCACCGAGCCACAGGCCTCGACAGGATGCAAAGGAAAGCAAAATTGCGCGTTGTGTTTTATGACAAAACTGCCACAAATTTAAATAAAAAATGCATGGGAACATTCCCTTTCTTCCTCGTGCATTATTTAGACAAAGCAGAAGCGCAGTCAGGGTCTGGTGTACGAAATTGTATATTATGGCTTTCATACAGTAGAGGCCCATGCTAGTTGTTTATTTCGTTTACGGATAGGTTTTTTTTTGGTCTCACAAAACGATTGCGTCATGAGAGACGACATTGATTCTAACGCATTTAAGCTGAACGAAACGGAAGAACAAATGGACGAAACGACTTCATTAAATGAGGCGACGCTGTTCGCTCTACCTGGGAATTGTGAATCCAATGCGATGTTTAAGAAAAGAATGAAAAAAACGAGGCATTTTGATCCGTGTAAAAGGAAACAAAATAACTTATTATCAGGTAAAAAAATACCATACGGTGGCATGCACTTCCTCAGCGTACGACACTTTTATAATTGTATCATTATCAATGGCCATGCACAATCGAGGCTCACCAACGCCACTGGAATCTCTCGTGTTGCTGCGAAGCAACAATAAGTCTGACACCTGCGCACGAGCTGATTTCAACGATCCGTCTCTGCGCTAACTTCCCCTCGGGTGTCTTCCCTCTTTAGGAACTGCTCACTTCTTTAGAACTGCGTTTTGTGTTTAGTTTGTTGTCCTTTCCCACACCTCCGTTTAGCACGGTTGGCTACTTACGGTGCAAAAGAAGTTCAACATACTTTGGCTGCTGCTCCGTCGTTAGTCTCGACCACCGGTCACTGTGCCTTCTGGCGACCCACGTTTCTTAACAATCAATGATGTACGAATGCTTAACTTCTTTCGCACTGTACGTAGCCAACCGTGCTTACTTGCGAACGTCCTCTGACCCGTGTGTTCCTCTTTTAGTAATGCATTGTAATTCCAAGCATGCACCTTCACAAGTTCCTTTGCAGACTTTTCGGCCTCTGTTACATCTTCTTTATCAATGTCCTCTTTTCTGAATAATCTGTCATAGTAGATCATATTTGCAGATATTTCTAAGTTCATCTTTAGGCACAATTAAAAGTAGATTTTCATAATAAAGTAAAAAAATTCTAAAACACTCCAATCTGCCCCCTATATATTATCATCGTCCTCCCAGTTTGCCTTCAAAACCTGTCCTAGGTATATGTACACAACTGTCTTTTCAAACCAATTATTTGGAGATAAAAAATGTCAACGCAACTGTCAACTACACTTCTGCGTAAAGGACCTTAAAATAAAAAAAATATATATAATTGGCGACGTTTCAGACAATGACCCTTCTTCATAGCACTTTATAAGACCCTTTACGCAGAAGGATCATTGTGCAAAAACGTCACGGATCATGCGTTCGTGTTTTTTCAGTTGCGGCCCTCTGACGGGTACCTCCAATTGTAAAGCAAACCTTATGTATGTGTATGAAAATATTAGAATAGCTTTGACCCTTTCTGGCAATAAAACAGGTATTAAGATGTTTAAAAACCAAATAGATACTTTCTGCAAGGCATCAAGTCTGCATTAACCACACGTACCTGTGGTGAACATGCAAACAAACATGATCTGATAATATATGAATTGTCTTTGAAACGGATTGGCCTACACCAGAGACATCATTCTTTATGGCCTTGTCTCACCACCATCAGTGTTAGAACATCTTAAGATATGTTTTATTGCCAGAAAGGTATGGCCTATTATTATGTTTTCATCAGTTTGATGCGTATGTGGCTATAGTGTTGCTCATGACAAACAGTGGATGTGAACTGCAGGAAATTATTGGTGGCTGACTGAAGCCTGCAGCATTTGGTAAATGATAAATTTTGCGCAAAGCCGAAATCACGTTCAACAAAGTTTGTTTCGACAATCTTGATTTGAAGCTTTCGTGACTGCAGGAATCCATACTCCTTGGTTCTTTCGGTAAAGTCACGTGGGTAGATAAATAAATGAAAAAATAATATATCACGACGATTCGATCGCCACACAAGCGGTCGTCCTCAGGCGGAAAAAATATAATCCAGCAGTGGAATTGCTGAACCAGGAAGAACACAAAGAGAGAGCTGTTACAACAAGATGTTATATATGTTAACCTCTAGTTGTAACAGCTCTCTCTTTGTGTTCTTCCTGGTTCAGCAGTTCCACTGCTGGATTATGTTTTCCGCCTGAGGCCGACCGCTTGTGTTGCGATCGAAACGTCGTGATATATTATTTTTTCTTTTATTTTTCGACCTACGTGACTTTACCGAAAGAACCGAAGAGTTTGTTGGACAAATGGAGATATTTCATGACGATATTTAATGAAGGGACACAACTGTCAAAAGCATCTCAACGTGTGTTTCGTGGGGGCAATTATTCAAGTAAAGACCACGATAGAAATTGTTATTAAATAATGGGGCATGTTGGAGTACGTTTGGAAAGTGTGGTAATGACAAACAAACAAAAACCTCTCTGCCTAAAGAGTAACGTTTTAAAATCAGTACAAACTTCTTTTGCTAATGACATTTCGATTGGAAGTAAACCGGGACGCTGACGAAAAGTAACATAAAATCTGAAAAGTGCACAAAGAAGGATCAGATAATGCATGCTTGGAATTGCAAGAGAGACGTAGGTAAGGAGTTGTAGATTGGCGAAAAAAAGCTCACATAGGAGACATCACAGTGTTGTGGAAAGTGGGCCTGCACAGGGCACATCGCTAGAAGAGATAGCGACGGCGGCTGGGACGAGAGTCCTGCGCGGGGGATCGGCGACCCAGGGGAGACCCGCAGAGAGTGCCGGTTTTGTGCCAGGTGCACTCGGGTTCATCGCGCTTTGGGTCACCACGACTCAACCCGTACCCACGGCGACAAAGCCATACACAAACGACTTCATTCCGGCCGGAAAGCGACCGGCTTTGTGGGTCACCTGCGGTTAGCCTCGGGACACTAAAACTAAAAAATATTTGACATGTTACAAGGTAAGGCCCACTGAGCTATATAGCTCTTTTTCAGAAGCGGCCTGAATGAAGTGGCTTATCGTGTGGAAATTTACAGCAGCCAAATACTTGCAATTGCGTGTTTCTAAATGTCGAGAGAAAAACCGGAGTACTCGGAGAAAAATCAACACAACCACGGGGAGAACATGCAAACTCCAAATATACAGGAGTCAGGGTTGGGATCGAACCCACAACCTCCTTCATACCGGGCGAGGGAGTTAACATCCACCGAGGTGCCCAGAAACCTGACCCCAATGCAGGACTCGAGATGAGAGTGGTTTTGAAATGGCTACCAAAGAACGGAGTGTGCCCAAGATGATGGCTACCACGGAGATTTAATCATAAGATCTGCTCAGGATGGACCCTGGCATTGTGAGATCGTGAGGG